AAACTTTTCTTTAAAAAAAAAAAAAAAGAAGAAGCCAGGCTCGGTGGCTTAACCTGTAATCCCCGCGCCTTTGGGAGGCTGAGGTGAGTGGATTGCCTGAACCCACGGGTTCGAGACCCGCCTGGGCAGCGAGACCTCATCTCTACAATAAATCAAAAAATCAGCCGGGCGTGGTAGCGCGCGCCTGTAATTCCGGCTACTCGGAAGGCTGAGGCGGAAGGATCGCCGGAGCCCAGCGGGTCGAGGCTGCGGTGGCCGGGAGCGGCCACTGCACCCAGTCTGGGCGACAAAGTGAGACTCCAACTCAAAAAAAAAAGAAAGAAAGAAAGAAAAGAAGTAGAGATGCCAACTGGATGAGGGCTTCCACACTGAGTGGGCCCGTCCACAGGCCTCAGCCGCCCTGCCACGGATCCGCGGGACTTTTCCGCCTCAAGTTGATCTTGGGAGCCATTTCCATGTTGCAGAGGCGCTGGCAAGTGTCACAGCTGTCCCGCTGTCACTGGTGGCATGACTCCTGGTGGCACTGCCAACGCTCGATATCCTCAGTGAGCCCATCGCGGCCAGGCTTCTGGGTAGGGTCCTGAGTGTCCTTCCACATCCTCTCCCAGTCCTGGCAGTGAACTTCAGATGCTTTGCCGTGACCTTGGAGTTAAGTCTTCACTCTGCAAGACTGAGCTCCTCCGTGCCCCGCCGGCCCCAAGCCTTCTCCGTTATTAACCATTTTTAGGAGGCCCTGGTGTGAAGACAAAACCAAAGCTTCCAGCCCAGTGGGAGCTTTGTTCTGTCTCTGGGGGCTGGCGGCACCACATGGGACGTTAGGGGCTGCTGGACATCGCCGTCGAGTCTGTGGAGACTCCCCGTGGAGGACTGATGTCTCGGAGGTGTGGCCGGACCCCCGGCCCCACCCTGCCGCTGGCCACTGCAAAGCCCTCCTTCAGAGACATGTGGGGCCGCCCCCACTTACCTCTGGCTGACCCTGAAGTTTCTTCATATGAAATGTTTGGGCCAGCTATGTTGTCAGCTTGTACCCCCAGAGAACCTTCCTCTAATACTTTTCTGCTTTGCAGAGAATAGGAGGTAAGATATGAGTCATAGCTGAAAGTTACGTTTCCCAGAGAAATTCTCCCCTGCGGTTTTTTTAGGGAGAGATCGTGCTCTCTTTTGCTTAAGTGTTTAGGTTTGGGGTGGGTTTTGCAAAGAAATGATTTATTTCTTGAGTGTTACTCTGGTTACTCACCTTTACGGAAGACCCTGTCAATTCTTTCTTAAAATTTTTTTATTTGCTGGGGGCAGTGGCTCAAGCCTGTAATTCTAGCACTTTGGGAGGCCGAGGTGAGAGAATTGCCTGAGCCCACGGGTTCGAGACCAGCCTGACAACTTGGCAAGACCTCATCTCTACAATAAATCAAAAAATTAGCTGGATGTGGTATAGCGCACGCCTGTGGTTACAGCTACTTGGAAAGTGAGGTGGAAGGATCACCTGAGTCCAGCAGGGCGACTCTGGGGTGGCCGTGAGCGTGCCACTGCACTCTAGCCTGGTCACGGAGTGAGACTCCAGCTCAAAAAAAAAATTTTTTTTTTAATTTTAAATGTATTTTTACTTTTTTTAAAATTTTGATTTTTTTTTATTTGACAGAACTTTCATAACTGCCTATGGTGATCTAGAGGGCTTCTCAGAAGTGACATTTGTGTAGGGAGTCCAGGACTCCTGGGCGACAGAGAGAGACCCAGTCTAGGAAAAAAACATGCTTTTTGAGTGATAACAAAAGCTATACTTCATGTTGAGTCTGACCAGGCAGGGGAGTCTGCGATCCAGTTCCGTACAAAAGATGCAAAGAATCGCACAAAAGATAGATTGGAAAATATAGTTTATTTAGAAAGTAAATGAGAGAGAGAAAGATTGATCCACCTTCCCAAGGGAGAAGAGGAAGCCAAACCTCAGGAAAATATGGCAGTCGTAGCTCAAAGAGCCACAGACCAGAGCTTAGCAAAGCAGTGGCCCTTTAAATGTATTTTCCATTTTTATTTACTCATTTTGTAGAGATGAAGGTCTTGCTGTGTCGCCCAGGCTGGCCTCGAATTCCTGGCCTCATGCAGTCCTTCTGCCTCAGCCTCTCAGAGTGCTGGGATTACAGGCGTGAGCCAGTGTGCCTGGCTCTCGGTCACTTTTTGGCTGTAAAGGGTCCTCAACTCACTTTCAGTAGCAGCGTCTCGTGTGAGTCTTTCCTCTGTCTCCTCCGGTGTAAGAATCAGAACTTTTCCCACGAAAGCGTCTCCTTCTCCAGCTGGACTGAAAGACAAGAGGGCAGGCATTCTGGTGCCCGCCGCTCTTGGCAGCATGCAGGGAGTCACTTCTGCGAGGTCCTCAGACCGCTGCCTGTCCCCGGGCCCCCTGTCCTTTTGCGATGCCCTGTCAGTGCCACCTCCTCCAGGCCACCGGCTTCCCCGCATGGTCCACCTCTGCCTCCCACGCCGGCCTCACGCCTCCTTTGCCCCAAGGAACTGGAGGCCAGTGTCTTCCTGATACAGGTGCCCCCGCCCCCAGCCGGCCCTTGGCAGCCACCGCCCACCTTTGGACTTTTCCAGGTGTGACTAGGACCCCCAGGTTCCTGCATCACAGACGCCGGAGGACAGGCGTCAGGCCCTCCCAGTGTTCTCAGGGGGGGCCTACTGGCTTGGCGTGGCCCCCCCCTTTCCTCCCTGGTCGGGGAGAGGTCGTGGGAGCCCAGTACGCTCCAACAGCGTGCTCCAAAGAAATTCTCTCCTCCAGCCTTTCTAACCTCCACTCTCATTTTTCTGTGCCCAGAAGGTGGCTGGCCACTTCGTCAGCCAGGCCCAGGTAGGTGACCCGGCACTATGGAATGTGGAGTGGGTGCCACTGCTGATTTTGTGACAGGCCGTTTGGGGCATCCTTGGCTGAGTCTCTCACAGGAGTCCCACCCCAACTGCGAGCCAGCCGCTAGGTCGTCACGCGCGCTGTGCTAGCACCTCTTTTAAAATCTGGCCCATGGCCCAGCGTAGTGGCTCACACCTGTAATCCCAACATTTGAGGAGGCCGAGGTGGGCAGATCACATGCAATCAAGGGTTTGAGACCAGCATGGGCAACATAGCAAGACCTCATCTCTACAAAAAAAATTTAAATAAATAAAGTCTGGTTCATACTTCCAGGATCCTCTGCTCAAACTATAGTTCTAAGGTAATAAAAAGCTGGCCTGAGATTTCTTCTCTTGTTTTTATTTTCCCCCCGTTATAAAGCATTTGTTTTTGCCTGGGCGTGGTTACTCGAGCCTGTGCTCCCAGCACTTTGGGAGGCCAAGGCAGGAGGACTGTTTGAGCCCAGGAGTTTAAGACCAGCCTGGAGAACAAAGTGAGACTTCATCTCCTCCAAAAACTTCAAAAATTAGGTGACCGTAGTGGCACATACCTGTAGCCCCAGCTGCTGGGGAGGCTGAGGCGGGAGGATCATCGAAGCCCAGGAGATGGAGGTTGCAGTGAGCTGTGATCATGCCGCTATGGCTCCAGCCTGGGCAACAGAGTGAGACTCCAACTCAAAAAAAAAGTAACACTTGTCTTTAATTTTGTTTTAGGGGAAAAAATGGCAAAACACATATATGCTGTGAGAGTCTGTTTCCCCGTCATAGAGTGTGATTGATGAGCCAGTTCCAAAGCTCCTGGCTGTGTGTGCTTTTGTGTGGGGGACCCCACTGTCTTGAGGGTTGGGCACCTTCCACCGACTTCACACAGTAATGGCGATAAACCCTCTTCATGGCCTGAAGTGACCTCTGCCTCAGACAGTGGCCTCGCCCAGAGAAGAACTTAGCCATATGCAACCTGGATCTGAATGCCCCGTCGTGGTCTCTCACTGACCCCCATCTGGTACTTCTAGTGGGATGTCTTTAATTATTTTGGCCGGGCTCGGTGGCTCAGCCTGCAATCCCAGCACTTTGGGAGGCAGAGACAAGAGGATGGCCTGAGTCCAGGGGTTCGAGACCAGTCTGGGCAACTTGGTGAGACCTCGTCTCTACAATAAATCCAAAAGTTATCCGGGTGTGGTGGTGCACACCTGTAGTTCCAGCTACTTGGAAGGCTGAGGCAGAAGGGTCGCCAGAGCCCAGCAGGTTGAGGCTACAGTGGCCCGGAGCATACCACTGCACTCCAGTCTGGGCGACAGAGTGAGACTCCAACTAAACAAAAAATTATTTGGGGGTCTCTTTTGTGTCCCTGAATTATTTTGGGGTCTGTGGACATTCCTTGTGTCAGTTTTGCCAAATACCTACCACATCCTGACCTGGCTGTATTTTGTCTTTGACAGCAGATTTCTGCTGGTCTCTGAGGTTCTCTGGATAATTGTGGAGGACACATAATTGTATTCTTTTTTTTTTTTTACCTTTATTTGAAATGTAGTGGGTTCTTGCACATGTTTGTGACATGGATCTATTGTGTGTAGTGGTGGGGATTGGGTCTCGGTGTCCCATTCCATAGATGGTGAACACTGTGCCCTGTAGGTAACTTCTGAAGCCTAACCCATCCCCCCTTCCTTATTGGTGTCCCCGGTGTCTATTATGTCCATCTTTGTGACCATTTAGCTCCCACATACGAGTGAGAACATGCCGTGTTTAGTTTTCTGTTTCTGAGTCAGTTCATAAAGGATGATTATCATCCGTGTTGCTGCAAAGGACACAATTTCATTCTTTTTTATGGCTGTGTAGTATTCCACGATGTACACATACCACATTTTCTTTATCCAGTCAACAATTTCTTTTTCTCCCATGTCTGAGACATATCAAGAGAAGCACTTGTGTGGGTCTGGGATGAAAGTCACCATTGCTACATGAGGGCAACCCCACAGCCAGCTTTCCTCAGCCACTCAGAGCCGATCTCCATGACGTCCCCAACCATCCCTGTACTGTGCTACCATCTTTCCTCTTTTCCTACCCAGAGATGTTTTTTCTCAAGTTACTTTAGCTAATTATGCTGTAAGGGCATTTTCACCTTGGCGATGAACACCAGTCAAAATGGTTGGCAGGAGACCGGCCGGTTGATTTAGTGGCCTTCCCAAGCAAGTTCAGATAGAATCTTGAGCCCAGGTTTCCTTTTTGTGTAACGGCTTTCTTTTTCTTTTCTTTTTTTTTTTTTTTGAGTTGGAGTCTCACTCGGTCGCCCAGACTGGAGTGCAGTGGCCGCTCCCGGCCCCCCAGCCTCGACCTGCTGGGCTCCGGCGATCCTTCCGCCTCAGCCTTCCACGTAGCTGGAAGTACAGGCGCACGCTACCACGCCCAGCTACTTTTTGATTTATTGTAGAGATGAGGTTTCGCCAAGTTGCCCAGGCGGGTCTTGAACCCGCGGACTCAGGCAATCCACTCACCTCGGCCTCCCAAAGGCACAGGATTACAGGCTGAGCCACCGAGCCCAGCTTGTGTAACGGCTTTCTATGGAAGTCATTTAGATCTCGGAGACTTGGTTTTCAGAAGTTTTACAAAGAAGTGTTACAGGGCCCTGGAGTAAAAGACAGGAAATTGGTGAGTTTCATTGTACGTAAAGCTTCCCAGTAATGCAGAATGTTTGTGGTGAATTCCTTTTGATTATCTTTTGATAAGAATAGTCTTTTGACAAAAGATTAATCAAAAACTCCTTTCAATCTCATTTTGCTTTTAAACGCTTCTGAAATGTGGGAGTTGTTTTTTCTGTGTTAGATCATACCTGAATCTTTATTTGATGATTTAGAGATAGTGCATTGCTCAAGGCTCATTATAAATAGGAATTCTTACCAGGCTCGGTGGCTCAGCCAGTAATCCCAGCACTTTGGGAGGCTGAGGTGAGTGGATTGTCTGAGCCCGCAGGTTCGAGACCCGCCTGGGCAACTCGGCGAGAACTCATTTCTACAATAAATCAAAAATTAGCCAGGTGTGGTAGCGCGTGCCTGTAGTTCCAGCTCCTTGGAAGGCTGAGGCGGAAGGATCGCCGGAGCCCAGCAGGTCGAGGCTGCGGTGGCTGGGAGCGGCCACTGCACTCTGGCCTGGGTGACAGAGTGAGACTCCAACTCAAAAGTAATCAAATAAATAAATAAATATGAATTCTCTTTGTACAGCGTTATAGACCTAAAGGAAACAGAAAAATAAGTGAGATCTTCCCTCCTCCCACTTTTTTTGGTTTTTGCTCGAATTCCTAATTAGAACTTATTTTCTCATCATTTGCTCTTTCTCCTCATCCTGGAGTACAATATAAAGTTCAGTCCTAGCCTGGGCAACATAGCAAGACTTCATTTCTCCAAAAAAAAAAAATCAGCTGGGCATGGTGACTCATGCCTGTAGGCCCAGCTACTTGGGAGACTGAGGCAGGAGAATCTCCTTAGCCCAGCAGGTCGAGGCTGTGGTGAGCCAGGATCGTGCCACTTCACTGCAGCCTGGGCAACAGAGTGAGACGCCAATGAAAAATAAAATAAAATTTAATCTCCAGTAAAAATCATTCCACGTAGACACTATTCTTCATCTGTTTTCTGTGAGATCATGGAGGACTTTTTTTTTCCTTACAAAGTAGAGTAACTTCTTCCATTTCTAGGGAGAAGAATCGCCCTGGTTTTTCTGTCGCTCAGAGAGGTCGTCCCCTTGCCACCCAGCATCAGCACAGACCGTGCATCAGGAAGGGCCCGTTGCCCATCTCATGGGCTTATTAGTATGTCCCACGTCCAAGGGGGCGAGGCCCAAGCCGAGTGGGCAGTTCATCATTGCCGTTGTCTTCCCCCACAGAGAAGCCCACACTTCAGAGCAGACACTCCTTAGACGGCTCCCGACTGGCTGAGAAGGGGGACACGTCGCAGCCGCTGTGGATAACGCTGGCCCTGCAGAAGCAGAAGGGCTTTCGGGAGCAACAGGCCACACGGGACGAGAGGAAGCAAGCCAGGGAGGCCAAGCAGGCGGGAAGGCTCCCCAGAGAGAATGTGAGAGCCCCGGGCTTGGTGCTCTTTTCGGCCACAAAGATTCAAAACAAAACCTAAAGCTAACCAGGGGTGGTGGTGGGTACTTAGAAGGGACCAAACGGGCTGCGCGGTGGCTCAGGCCTGGAATTCCAACTCTTGGGGAGGCCAAGGTGGGAGGACTACTTGAGCCCAGGAGTTGGAGACCAGCCTGGGCAACGTAGCGAGAACCCGTCTCTACAAAAAAATTTTTTTTTAAATTAGCCAGATGGTGGCGCCTGCCTGTAGTTCCAGCTACTAGGGAGGCAGAGACGGAAGGACTGTGTGAGCCCAGGAGGTTGAGGCTGCAATGAGCAGTGATTGTGCCCCTGCACTCCAGCCTGGGCAACAGAGAGATCCTGACTCAAAAAAAAAGAGGAAGGAAGAGAGGAAGGAAGGGGCAGTAAATAAATTGACCACCATCAAACCAGGGAAGAATTTTCAGAGTGATTTGGTTTGATTTCATTATACTCTTAGCTTAACCTGATTTGGCAGACTCCATAATGGATTTATAGCGGTGATAGACAACCGTTATGTGAGAAATACGAAAATGGTTTTAAGCTGGGCATGCCTGCAATCCCAGCACTTTGGGAGGCAGAGGCCAGAGGATTCCCTGAGCCCACAGGTTCGAGATCAGCCTGGGCAACATGGCAAGACCTCATCTTCACAAAAAAATAAAAAATTAGCCAGGTGTGGTGGTGCATGCCTGTCATTCCAGCTACTTGGAAGGCTGAAGCGGAAGGTTTGCCTGAGCCCAGCAGGTCGAGGCTGCGGTGGCCGGGAGCGTGCCCCTGCACTCCAGCCTAGACGGCAGAGTGAGACTCTGACTCAAGAAATAACAGAAAATGGTTTTATTGGAGCAGTGGATTGAGAGGAAATCAGAGCCTTGCTCTGTGGCCTGATGGGAGAATTCGATGCTGTTCTTCTGAGAAAGTGACCTTCCCTCTAGGGCATCTTGGCACCAAGCTGCTTCCTCCTGGGGGACCAGGGCTGGGCACACGAGGCTCACGGTGCAGTTCGGCCCACCTTGGGGAGCAGAGGTCACGGGTGGGCAAGTGGAAGCGCCTGAGGCCTGCAGGTCAGTCTTCCCATGTCTTAGGTTGAAAGCATGCTTTCCCTGACTGTCTTCTGCCAACCCCCAGGTCAGCGGCAGCCCGCCGCCCGGAAGCAGCAGTGTCAGTAGAATGGGTTCCCAGCACAAGGCCGCTGCCCAGCCGGAAGAGAAGAAGCCCGAGACTGCCGTGTCCAGGCTGGAGCGCAGAGAGCAGCTGAAAAAGGCCAACACCCTTCCCACGTCTGTGACAGGTAGAGAGTGGCTCCATTTCTGCCCACCTGTTGTTCCAGGTTTCTCTTCCTAAAGCATGCTTCATTTCCTGATAACCAGCACAGCCCCGGAGGCGTTTCCAGGCACAGGCTGTCTTACCACCTCACTCATAACCTCTGATGCGGATGCGCTCATCTGATAAAGGTCACCAGGAACTCGCCCACTGTCCGTGGTGGGATGGTAGATGTTAAACAATCGGGCTGGGTGCGGTGGCTCACATGTGTAAACCCAGCACTTTGGGAGGCCAAGGCAGAGAGGCCTGAGGATCACTTGAGGCCAGGCATTCAAGACCAGCCTGGGCAACATAGTGTCTCTATTTAAAAAAAGAAAATCAGCTGGGCATGGTGGCTCACACCTGTCATCCCAGCACTTTGGGAGGCAGAGGCGAGAGGCTTGCCGGAGCCCAGGGGTTCAAGACCAGCCTACACAACTTGGCGAGACCTTGTCTCTACAATAAATTTTAAAATAGCCAGGCATGGTGGTACACACCTGTGGTTCCAGCTACTCGGAAGGCTGAGGCAGAAGGATTGCCTGAGCCCACCAGGTCGAGGCTGTGGTTGCTGCGAGCATGCCACTGCGCTCCAGTCGGGGCAACAGAGTGACACTCTGACTCAAAAAAAAAAACCAAAAAGCCAAGCCTGAGTCCAAAAGTATATTCAGGGTCCTGTTTCTTTTGAAACTACCAACTTAAGATAAATGGCTGAAATAGGTAAGGTGGTAGAGACCTCAATTAACCTGATTTAATCATTATACGTTTTATAATCGTATCAGAATATCACATGCACCCCAAAATGTATATAATTATGATACATCAATTTTAAAAATTAAAAAAGATGCATGTGAAATGCTGTATCTGGAAACCTCTCCCTAGAGGTCTGTGCCTCACTTAGAAACATGTCCTGGTGACCCACATGACTCAGATGCTCTGGGCAGAAGCGAGATGGTCCATCCTCTCTGATGTGCTTTCAAACCGCAAATTTCTGATAGCCTGTGACTTTACCGAGTAAAGTTTCTCAGTACTGTGTCCTTGATGTTAATTAACAGCAGCAGTGTTTATATGTGCATACCACGTGAGAGATGTTCCCATTTTTAAAAATTCTTTGCTGAGCATGGTGGCTCACACCTGTCATCCCAGCACTTTGGGAGGCAGAGGCGAGAGGATCGCCTGAGCCTAGGGCTTCGAGACCAGCCTGGGCAACTTGGCAAGACCTCTTCTCCACAATAAATGCAAAAATTAGCCATGGGTGGTGGCAGCGCCTGCCTGTAGTCCCTTGGGAAACCAAGGCGAGTGTGGCCTGAGCCCAGGAGTTTGAGACCAGCCTGGGCAACACGGTGAGACCTTGTCTCTACAATAAATAAAAAAAAAAAAAACTCATCAGTTGAGGCGCACGCTTGTAGTCCCAGCTACTCGGGAGGCTGAAGTGGAAGGATCACCTGAGCCTAGGAGGTCAAGGCTGTGGTAGTCGTGAGCGTGCTACTGCACTCCAGCCGGATCACAGAGTGAGACTTCAAGTCAAAAAAAAAAATTATTTATTCTGCTAAAAGGTAAAATCACCCATAGTCTCCACATGTTTCCTTATTACGGATCACTTGGAAGGATTGATGGACTTAAACACGCTTCCTCTGGGGGATCAAAGGCATCTGTTTTCTCCACCAGGGGGCACTGTTGCCTAAAGGGCAGCTGCTCTCTAGACCCAGACTTTTCTTGTTTTTTTATTTCATTTTTTATTTGTATTAAAAAAAAAATAAAGATGGATCTTGCTGTGTTGCCCATGCTGGTCTCAAACTCATGGCCTCAAGCAGTCCTCGTGTCTCAGCCTCACAAAGTGCTAGAGTCATAGGCCCAAGGCACTGTACCCGGCCTCAAACCCAGGTTTTTCTCTGCCTTGGTTACCTGCTACCTGAGGTCTGGAAACAGACAGATGTCTCACTGTTAAAGACAGACTTACTACTGGTGAAAGAGGGGAAAAACTTCATATTTGAAAACCTCTTTGGAACACTAATTTCTCAGGAACCTCTATAGGCATTATTTAATTTACTTTTACTTATAGGAACTAAGGATCCTAAGTGTTAGAACCAGAGAGAGGCAGAGAGGATGAATTTATTTCAAAATAAAATGAAAGCTCCAAAGTCAAGATGATCGAGTCTTTCTCTGCCTGATTTCCTGGAAGTGCTAGAGGGTTAATGCAACTCAGAGTAGTGCCAACTTCATAAAGCAAGTCTTTGTCCTAAAGCATTTCTCTTTTAGAAATTAATTAAATTTCAAAAAGAAAGAAAAAGAAGAACACATTCATTTTTTTTCGAGTTGGAGTCTCACCCTGTTGCCCAGGCTTCAGTGCAAGGGGTGAGCTCACGGCTCACCACAGCCTCGACCTGCTGAGGCTGAGGCTCAAGTGATCCTTCCACCTCAGCCTCTCGAGTCACTGGTACTTCAGGCATGCCCCACCATGCCCAACTTATTTTCTTATTTTTTTTTGGTAGAGACAAGGTCGGGCTATGTTGCCCAGGCTGGTCTCAAACTCCTGGGCTCAGGCAATCCTCTTGCCTCGGCCTCCCAAAGTGCTGGGATTACAAGTCTGAGCTACCACATCCGGCCAGAAGAATAAATGTTTTAAAAATAAGTAAATTTGGCTGGGCGCAGTGGCTCACACCTATAGTCCCAGCACTTTGAGAGGTTTGAGATCAGCCTGAGCAACTTGGAAAGACCTCATCTCTACAATAAACCAAAAAATTAGCCAGGCATGGTGATGCGTGCCTGTAGTTCCAGCTACTTGGAAGGCTGAGGCAGAAGGACCACCTGAGCCCAGCAGGTCGAGGTTGCGGTGCCCGTGAGTGTGCCACTGCACTCCAGCCTGGGAGACAGGGTGAGAACTCCAACTCAAATAAATACATAAATAAATAGATTTGAAAAATGAAGTTATTTGTCTTTTCAGTCAGTATTTCCTGAGTTCTAGAAGCACACCTGTAGGCCATTGCCATAGGCACTGGATATGATCCAAAGATAAGATGAGAACCCTCTTAACTGGCCGGGCTTGGTGGCTCAGCCTACAATCCCAGCACTTTGGGAGGCTGAGACAAGAGGATTGCTTGAGCCCATGGGTTCGAGACCTGCCCGGGCAACTTGGCGAGACTTCGTCTCTACAATAAATAAAAAATTAGTCGGGTGTGGTGGCATGTGCCTATAGTTCCAGCTACTTGGAAGGCTGAGGCGGAAGGATCGCCAAAACCCAGCAGGTCATCGCTGGGGTGACCGTGAGCGTGCCACTGCACTCTAGCCTGGGTGACAGAGTGAGACTCCAACTCAAAAAAAAAAAAAAAAAAAAAAAGAAATTAGATTTTAAATGTTCTCACCAGTAAAATTATAACTTTGAGAAGTTATTCATATTTTAATGAGTGAAATTTAGCCATTTCACAATGCATATTTGTGTCAAAACAGCATACTGTGCATGACAAAGCATACAATTATCTCTTTTAACGAAAAAACTGTTTCAGTTTGGTTCTGAACTTCCTCCTTTCTTTCCTTCCAAACCAAACACAGTGGAGATCTCCGATGCGGCCCCCACGGCACCGCTGGTGAAGGAAGTCACCAAGAGATTCTCCACCCCAGATGCGGCCCCGGTGTCCACGGAGCCAGCCTGGCTGGCTCTGGCCAAAAGGAAAGCAAAGGCTTGGAGCGACTGTCCGCAGATCATTAAGTAAAGAGTGACCGTGAACGGTTCCTGTGGCCAGCTCTTGGCTGCTCTCTTGCCATTTTGATTTATTTATTTTTTATGTGGGGTCAAGAAATCAAGCTAGGGAACGGCAGCACGTTTTGAAGGCTCTGAGATCACGTCCGGGAACCGGGCTGGTGGTGGCTCGTTGTAAATGGTGTATTTGCACAACCCTTGGTCCTGGTGACTTGAGCTATTCCTAGTTCTCAAGAGGAAATTCCGTCCAAGGGACCACGTTAGCAAACATCTCTCAGCTAAGAACTCTCCCTGTCGTGCCCAGCCCCTGGCCCTTCCCCACGTATAAACCCACGCACCATGCAGAACACTTACTTTTGCCAATCTCCATCGCGGATGTTTGATTCTCTTCATTTTTGTCCAAAGCATTTCCCCTACCTTATGTTTGGGGAGCCTTTCCACAGTCACGGCGAAAGGATTTTCTAGAGATAGAAACAAGGATGTTCATTCTTCTCGACGCAGTGAGTCACTGGGAATCACAAGGAACCGTCTGGCTCCCAACTCTGAGCCCACGCCTGGTTTTCACGAACTTTCCCCACTCCAAAACTGTAACAGGGAGGGCAGATCCACTCACGTTCCTGCCACACCATGGGTCCACAGTGTGAAGCCCCGTTAGACCGACACCCTCCTTAAGGACACACGACACGTGTGGTCCGGTTGGCTTCCAGAGAGCATGTTTATTTACTATGGCAAAGGAAGGAAATTCTGTATCAAGTTTCAAGTTTGCCTTCTGTCTCTGAGGATCCCCATCGAGTACAGTGGTCCTGGGCCAACTAAGTCAGAGCCTTTGAGGACGAGGCCGGGAGTGTATATTTCTGGCAAAGACTCTTCAGATGAATTCTCATGTATCCCTGAATTAAGAACTTTGGGATACACCGATTGTAGTGGAACCCTACTTCAGACTCTGAAGGGGAGGCTCATTCACCCAAAAAAGCAAAGGGAGACAGGAAAGAGTAATAAAACCACCCCCCAAACCAGCCATTTATTACAAGAAATGACAGGCTATTGACGTTACGTGTCTCTGACGTCTTTGGTCTTTAGAGAAAATTAACAGGAAGCCAAGATTTGGAATCTTTGTACTAAGGGCTTCCAACAAAGTGTTTTCTTTACTATCATTGAGTAATTCAGATGTAGAGTCAAATATTCAGTAGCATTTCTAATTTAGCGCATTCACCTTGCTACCTTTAAAAAACATCTGATTTTGAAGTGGCCTTGTTATCCTCATACACATGTGCATACGAAGAAGGCAGTTTAAAAGCCACATATGTTCACTTCTGTTTCCCTAAATTTGCTTTCCACAAAACACAGATACACCAGCCGAGCCACGTTGCTGTTACCAACTTCATATTCCATAGTGCTGGCATATTCCCGTTCTTAGCTTCTTACTCCAAAATACAGGTACAGATCCTTTGCCCAGCGCAGAGGGAATTCCACCCTTTCCTCTCCTTTTTATTCTACAAAAACACGTTTTTTTAGTATCCGCCATGATTTTCCTTTATGCTCACTCGATATGTAATGTGCTGTTATTCTATGACGTATCTTAAAGAAAGGATGGCAGCCAAGTATATACCACGCAGAAACCATGTTCTTTCTAGAAACCACAGCTCAGCCTCACTGTAGCAGCTGGCATGTGTGGTCAAGTGGGTAGTTGTATTCTTGCAAGTTGGATTTCCTATTATATATACTGGACCTCCAGACCGTTAAGGATTGATGTAACTTTTCTTTTACTGCCGTGGCAAGCAATTAGTACTCCATTGCACGTCTTCCACACTGATGTTCATTTCTAGATCTTCTATGTAGGCATTTGTTAGTTCCAACGATTTCCTCGCTCATATAACACTTTTGAATGGGAATCTTGCCACCCAGAGCCCTGGAATTATAGTGCTACCATCATTCTTCCGAATTCTTTTTCTTTCCTCCTGTCGGCTTTGGACAGTATCACAGTAATGGCAGGAAACTGGCGAAGATCAGCCACAAAGAATGGTGGGTGAGTCAACTTTGTCCTGGCTGACACCACTGAACCCATACAAACTAGAGAAAAGACCTCAGTGGAAAACTTTCCATCAAAGTCTTTAAAAGAAGAGTGTGGCAGAAGAAAGGGCAGTCATAGTACTTCTAACAACTTCTGAAGGGTACATGTTCAGCATTTCATTTAAAAATCACCCCAAATTTGCACTAAATACCAATGAAGTGTTATTTTGCTTTAGTTGTGTTGCAGTCTCTTCTGAGCAACAAACTATGGGGAAATTCTGTAAAAACATATAAAAAGTTCAAGACGACTTTTTTTGATGATTGCTATGTTAAATACACAAGCTTTTTTTTTTATTTAAACACACATACACATACAAGGTGATAGGTTATAGATGATTAACCTCTGTTCATAGACATATATATAAAACTAGAGTTTTTTGTTTACTTTTTTAATTTTTCAAGTGCAATTGTTTCTTACATAAACCTTAATTACTATTAAATTATCATTTTAGCCAGTCATCTGCAAATGTATAATATGTATTCATCGTCTCTTCTTGTGACGTTTAGTTTAATTGCTTATTTTAAAGCAGAAACGTTAGTTACACGCGTCTTGCAATATTTTTACCAACAATAAAAATGAAGTAGACTTAATGAAAATACCTTAGTGTGATTTTTAATATTATTTTGAGATTTTGGTTGTATAAAGTTTTAATGTAAAATGTCCATTATTGAAGGGAAAAGTTCTTTCAATAAAAAATACACACAAGATCTTTGGTGCTGATGCAGTTTGATTTCACGGATCCTCTGTACATACACTTGTTATATTTACATAGTTGTTGAACAAGAGAAACCTCAAAGCCTTATTATGTGGTATTTTATTCTGTTTTTCATTAGGTGTGGAGAAAAATAATCAATGGGAAATAAAACGCTTATTGCAATCCTAAATTGGAATTGGATGGTCCAGGTCTCAGACAGGATGATCATGCAGTGGTCATGGACCCACACCGGCATCAGCTGAGAGCGGGTGAGCTCAGCGTCACAGCCCCACAGCCCAGACAGCTGACACCCAGGGCCAGGCCTGGGGGAAGCGAGTGAGGTGTGTGTGGCACTTGCCTTGCCTGACAGACACCGCAGCCATCTTGAGAAATACTATTTTAGGGCAATTTTTTTTTTTAAGTTAATGCAAGGTCGGGCACGGTGGCTCACGCCTATAATCCCAGCACTTTGGGAGGCCGAGGTGAGAGGATTGCCTGAGCCCATGGGTTGGAGACCAGCCTGGGCAACTTGGTGAGACCCCATCTCTACAACAAATCAAAGAATTAGCTGGGCATGGTGGCGTGTGTCTATAGTTCCGGCTACTTGGAAGGCTGAGGTGGAAGGATCGCCGGAGCCCAGCAGGTCGAGGCTGCGGGGGCCAGGAGTGTGCCACTGCCCTCCGACCAGGGTGACAGAGTGAGACTCCTACTCCAAAAAAAAAAAAATTAATGCAAAACCAATTCCACAATGAGCAAAGTGTTAAGGACAGGGTGTTACTGATTCTTCCTTTTGCTTCAGGCACCCATGTGGCCCCACAGGGCGTCCTCCCCTAGCCTTGCTCAGTAGGAATTGCATTTTAACCAGAATTCCGGATGGTTCATGTGAAATAAGCCTTGAAAAGTGGGGGAAGATAGGTCATTCCTTTGGACCAGCCCGTGGCTGAACCCCTTTGTGTCTGGCGAATGACCCAACTCATGGGTGTCGGAGGGAAGCAGCACCTGCCTCCCCCAGATGAAGTGCCTGGTCTGTGGTTTCCCGTAGACCTCTGTGGGCCTGGAACCTGTTTCACTTTGAATTGGAAAAGACTCGGAGTTGGAATCAACCCACCAAAAGACAGGGGCGCCAACAGTGATGCCAGGCATGAGAAACCGTGTACAGGGTTAATGGGGTTAGCCAAGTACTTACAACTTCAAGGCCAGCTGCTGCATGGTGAGGAAGAGCCAGGAGCAATGAATGCCTAAAATCTCCACATATCAACCTGAAACTGTACAGGATGTGTGTGTATGTGTGTAATATATAATTTTACATTGGTACTTCTGTTCATTTAAAAATACTAAATTCGGAACCTAATTCATAAACAGATCCTACCTTCGAAGACCTTTTGCCATGAATCTCAGTATAAATGAGTGAATTGTATAGTACATCAAGACTAAGTTTTTAACCCACTGTGTGTGTGTGTTTGTGTATGTGTGTGTATTTTTTTTTTTTTTTTTGAGTTGGAGTCTCACTCTGTCGCCCAGGCTGGAGTGCAGTGGCACGCTCTCGGCCACCACAGCCTGGACCTGCTGGACTCCAGTGATCCTTCCGCCTCAGCCATCCAAGCAGCCCAGACCCACGCCTGGCTAATTTTTTGATTTATTGCAGAGATGAGGTCTCGCCAAGTTGCCCGGGCGGGTCTCGAACCCACGGGCTCAGGCAATCCACTCACCTCGGCCTCCCAAAGTGCTGGGATTACAGGCTGAGCCACCGAGCCCAGCTGTGGTTTTTTTTTTTTTTTTTTTAAAGAGATGGGATCTTACTATGTTGCCCAGGCTGGTCTTGAACCTGGCCTCGAGGCATCTTTTACAGTTTACAGTTATGAGCCACCACACCTGGCCCACCAGGTATATTCTGATCATTTTTTCCCACCGGGATCTCTTTTTTAAATAAAAGAAACATACAGGTAGCTTAACTTATTAGTCAGGGTTCTTCAGAGAAACAGAAACATAACCAATAAGAGAGGAGACCAATTCTGCGACTGGCTCATGATTGTGGAGGCTGAAAAGTTCCACTACCTGCTGTTTGTTGGAGACCTAGGAAAGTCAGTGGTGCAGTTCAAGTCCAAAGGCCTGAGGAGCAGGGGCAGCTAGTATGAGTCCCCAAGCCTGAAAACCCGAGAACCAGGAGTTCTGATGTCCAAGGGCAGGAGCAGGGAGCTACCTCAGCAGAGAGAGGACTTGTCCTTCTTCCGCCATTTTGTTCTACCTGGGCCCTCATCAGATTGAACGATGCCTACCCACGCTGGCAAGGATCTTCCTGACTCAGTTTACTGACTCACATTCAAATGCTCGTCTCTCCCAGAAACATCCCCACAGACACACCCAGCCGCAATGCTTTACCAGCTATCTGGGCATCCTTTAGCCCAGCCAAGCTGATGCATAGAATTAACCATCACATCTAATTACAAGAAAGTGTTACTAAACATATTGATGTGTTCTGTTTTGCAATTCCTTCTGAAAGCTTCTGCTGCTTATGTGGCAAGTAAATATGACTGTTCTCAGATAAAGTATATTAGGCAAGTTTCAGTTCCTTAGTCAAAATATAATCTTTAATATAAAACTATCTACATATGCTGTAATGGTAAAATATTTTCAAACATCTCACATATACATTTATAAGGACCAGAACTTGATTATTTTTTATTGCCACTCAATAAATCCAGACAATAAACGTAATCATTTCTGCACCCAATAATGAGCATGGATTCCCAGACCACAGGAGATGAGAAGACTTCCCCCGGAAGTTCAAAAACACTTTGCAATCGTCCGCTCTGAGATTCCAAGATCCACAGTTTCCCATCAATAGATGCTACTGCCAGCAACATTTCATTGCTACCACTGGGGTTACGGAAAGCAAACGGGGTTGCAAAGACCCTAGAGGTAGTTTCAAATTTCCACTGGAGGTGGCCTTTCATGTTACAACAGTAGATACAGCAGTCATGGGAACCAAAAAATACTTCTTGCTCTGATGCTGAGACACAGGGAGATGAAAAGATTGGCCCACTAGCAGAGAACTGCCAAACCTATAAAGAGTAATAAAAATAAAATCATTCATTCATCTAACACATACAATTCTCCCCTGAAGTTCTATGAGGTTCTTAACACTAGTCTGAAAGACACAGCCTATCTGAATGGTATCTATACTTTTCCAAAAAGTAGCATCTCATACCAGGCCTCTGTCCCAGTGGTAAAACCCAGGGCAAAATATGCCAGAGTGTTGTTATTATATGATTGCTCTGCACAATATAAAGTAAACTTAATTTTGAACCTTGTTCAAGAGTCATTCCTAGTATGTTCAGAGACACTGAAGTCAAAGAAAAAATTACATTGCATTTTTGTTTTTTTTTTTTGAGTTGGAGTCTCATTCTGTCACCTAAGTTGGAGTACACTGCCATGCTCACAGCCAGCACAACCTAGAACTACTAAGCTCAGGCGATCCTTCTGCCTCAGCCTTCCAAGTAGCTGGAAATACAGGTGCACACTACCATGCCTGACTAATTTTTTTAAATTTTATTTTAGAGATGAGGTGTTACCAAATTGCCTGGGCTAGTCTCAAACCTGTATGCTCAGGCAGTCCTCTCACCTCTGCCTCCCAAAGTGCTGGGATTAGAGGCATAAGCCACCATGTCCAGCCTTACATTGTACTTTCAATGTTTCTTTTTAAAAACTGTAAATTCCAGCCAGGCAAGGTGGCTCACTCCTGTAATCCCAGCACTTTGGGAGGTTGAGGTGAGAGGATTGCCTGAGCTAATGAGTTCGAGAACAGCCTGGGCAACTTGATGAGACCTCGTCTCTACAACAAATAAAAAAATAAGTCAGGTGTAGTAGCATGTGCCTGTATTTCTAGCTACTTGGAAGGCTGATGCAGAAGGATCACCTGAGCCCAGCAGGTTGAGGCTTTGGGGACCATGAGTGTGCCACTGCACACCAGCCTGGGCAACAGAAGTGAGACTCCGATTCAAAAAAAAAAAAAAAAAACCTGGAAATTCTATTCTCCAAATGAAGGAAAAAGAAAGTAATTGGGCTGCAAGTAAGGATTTATATGGAATAATTTAAATTAGAGTTTTAAACAAAAAGCTATGAGTTGTGTGTCTGCCTTGTACATATATATATATATACTATTTGCTTACTTCAAAGCTACTGCAGACAAACTTGTTGGCCAAGAAAAGACACAAGAAGGAAAAAAAGGAAGAAAAAACTCTGAAGTACTGTTTACAAATGCACAGCATCATAGCAAAAAAAAAAAGGGGCATATTCATGAAATGCAATTTGTAATCTCAAATCTGTCTCTGACTTGGACAGAGTTACTCCCATTCAAAAAAAGAAAAAAAGAAAAACTGCCGGGTGCAGTGGCTCAATGCCTACTATAATCCCAGCACTTTGGAAGACCGAGGTGAGAGGACTGCCTGAGCCTACAGGTTCGAGACCAGCCTGGGCAACTTGGCAAGACCTCATCTCTACAGTACATTTTTAAAAACTGGCCAGGCGTGGTGGCACATGCCTGTAGTTCCAGCTACTTGGAAGGCTGAGGCAGAAGGATCACCTGATCCCAGCAGGTCAAGGCTACAGTGCCATGAGGGTGCCACTGCACTCCAGCCTGGGTGACAGTAAGACTCTGACTCAAAAAAAAAAAGAAAAATTAGAGCAACAGCATTTGTCTCTTCTTACTTCTCAGGATTCTAAAGGTGGGAATATATTCAAAGTACTCTGTAAATAAAAAGCAAGGGCTTGAAGAGGGGCTTCAGGCGGCTGCCTGGATAATCTGGTACTAACCTCCTCCACAAGTAAGAACCAAAATAGCTGGTCCCAGTGGCTCACGCCTATAATCCCAGCACTTTGGGAGGCAGAGGCAAGAGGATTGCCTGAGTTCAGGAGTTTGAGACAAGCCTAGGCAACATAGCAATATCTCGTCTCTACAAAAAAATAAAAACTATCTGGGCATGGTGGTATGTGTCTGTAGCCCCAGCTACCTGGGAGGCTGAGGTAGAAGGATCTCCTGAGGCTACCAGGCCAAGGCTGTGGTGAGAAGCATCTGTGCCGCTATACTCCAGCCTAGGAGTGAGACTCCGATACACACATACATACACAAAGATCACCAGAGACTATTATGAACAAGTATAGATGAACAAACTAGAAACCCTAGAAGAAATCAATAAATTCCTGAAACTGGGCTTGGTGGCTCAGCCTGTAATTCCACGCCTTTGGGAGGCTGAGGTGAGTGGATTGCCTGAGCCCGTGGGTTCGAGACCT